ATATATATATATATATACTTCTGGTGTTGAAATATTAGCAAGTCAGTGGAATTATTTCATATTTGCATAATTTATCTATCCAAAATAAATGTTACTTTTTTATACAAACAATAGGTTTCTACTAACAGTAATACTAATCACTTAAATCAAAATGCATTTATTGACAATCATATTTCTAGGAATATATTTAATAAAAAAGACATGGTTATGAACTGATTAGACTCCTCCCTTTTACCCTTTTGTTATATATGTGTATAAGGCAGCGTTCAAGGGAATGTCTAGAAAATATTTTGTGATAACAGTGTGCATCAGTGCCTTTTCCAATTTCTATGCCACATGATCTGTACTAACAGCTATCTGAGCCTAACTGGATATCCAAGACAATCTAGAATGTCTAACTTGGAGCCATTTAATTTTAGCCTATGTGTATCATAAACCACTGCCATTTTTATTTACCCATAACATACGATTTGTATTTTTTTGGTATTTTTTTTTTGGATCTCACTGCTGCTGACCTCCTCCAGCCTTTTTTTTTAGACATTTCCTATCTTTCGTCCCAGTGTTGGCTGCATATCATTGCTCTAGATTAGCCACTGGATAGTGACAATGGTAAACCATACCTGTGCAATTTGTGTCAGCCCAGCCGCTAAGGGGGTGTGTGACAGGGTGATAAGGTAGAGCACTATTAGGAAAGAGTTACACACCCCTTAAAGTGACACTAAACTCAGGAGAATCTTAAAAATGCATTCATGTACCTTTAAGTAACACTAAACTCAAGAGTTAAATCCTAAAAATGCATTTATATACCTTACTTATTAACAAAAATGTATCTTATTTGTGCATCACTCAGCTGTAGATCCTCCAATCATCTCTGAATTCATAGTGACGCTGTCCTTCCTTCTGGAGGGTGCCTACTTTTGTTCCTCACGATCCCTGTGTGTGTTGTACAGTAGCCACCGCTCCAAGCTCACTCCTGTGATGGACTACAATTTCAATACAAATTAATCAACTAAATGTGAGATTGTAGTTACGGGAGTGGGCTTGGAGCGGTGGTTACTTTACAACACACATAGGGACCATGGGGAACAAACGTAGCCCCCCTCCAGAAGGATGGACAGTGTCAGCACCAATTCAGAGATGATTTGAGGATATAACGCTGAGTGATGTACAGATAAGCTACATTTTTGTTAGTAGTTCAGACACTTGAATGTGTCACTTTAACAGGAGTGAACAAGGACAATCATGGCAAGGTCACCTGGTATATAAAAGCTGCATATTTATACAGATTGAAAACAACTTTTTAAATAACACAAGTTAAAGATTATACAACATGTTTGTGTTGGGATTATTATCTACTTTTCATAATTTAAATTACCATCTAATCATTGCTACCTAAGGCCCCTGCTTGGTATAGCCGTATTTTAATACATCCCTCATTGATGGCTATATCACAATGAAAGACTTACAAATACATTTTCTTCCCTATCGCATGAGTGTTTTGTGCTGTTATTGAGATCTTAAAAAAAGTAAACATTGCAGACAAACTTAGAGTAAAGACCATAGAGCAAAGTACAGTAAGCGCAAAAACCAGACAGAATAGACCCAACTTCACTAAACTAATGTAAGGTCAACTGGTGAGGGTTACTGCACTTTACTAATCATCTATAACTCTGAGCTAAATTACTAAGCAAGCCCATAGATGTGTTCAATTTTCATCTGGAATTGTTGAATAATTTACTTAGCACCCATAAAATGCATCATGATATTACCTTCCACGAGGGATCCAGCGAACAGGAGAACACAAAATAGGAGCAACATGTTCTTGAAGGGTAGAGAGAGACGTTCCGTACAAAGAGGAATTGTCTTTCACAAGATGTGAAATGTTAGCACGAGCTGTAGGTTTCTTAGCTAGTAAAGATTTCCGACTGAAACCACAATGAACAGCCCACAAACTTGTCACAACTTCCTGCACAAGTGTGAAAACACTACTCTGTACACTATTAAAGGTGACAAAATGACTACGGAAACGTTTTTTGAGATAAAGAAAAGAAAACATTAAGTTCTCATGAACAATTTCAAAAACAAAAAGATATTTGTTATGATTGTACATGTGGCTTTATGTGCTTGATGTGTACACGCTGTATATGAAAGATAGGATAAGGTATATTTCCACCCACTGTAACATTTCTAAATTATTCTGTAAAAAACTTGTCATGAGCTAAATATATAGACTTCTGAACAGGATGGATGCCTATGAAGCTAACCCACTGGCTTTAATGCTTGTAGTCACGGAGTCAGAACAATTATGTAGATCATGAAAGTCAGAGATAAGTGTGTCAGCCTTATTTGTGCTTTTGTTCAATGTCAAGGACTTAAAGTGTAGAAGCCAAAGGGCCAGTGTGGCAGACAGGCAACCAACATTTTCAGAAGAAAAGGTCAACAGTGAGAGTCTTCAAGTTTCTCTCACGACAGGTTACTTTTGAGGACAAGTGTACAGTTGATAAAAAGTACACTCTCCCCAGCCTTCCTAACCCAGTCCCACCCAGCTGTCTACTCAGCATGACAACCGTGGCCTCCTCCGATGCTGACCTCCTCCAGGCATAAGCATTCTTCAATGCTGGCCGCACCTGTGCAGTGATCCCCCACTAGGGTTGCCACCTGTCCAGGATCCACCCGGACAGTCCGGGTTTTGAATGCTGTGTCCGGGTTTCATGGCAGCAGAAACCCGGACACAAGTTGTCAGGCAGACAGGGGCAACCAAAATTAATATAGGGGCTACTGGCCCCCAACTAAAAATAGTATCAACTGTGATATTTACATATTAATGGGTGGCTCTATTACATATGAAAAAGCAACGACTCGTTCTCCCCAAAAAAAATTCTGTGCGTCGCTAGAGTATGTTCGGGTTTCGCTTGAACAAAAGGTGGCAACCCTATCCCCCACATATACTTCATGAAACTGTATTTAGGCACAGCCAGCACAGAGGAGGAGGCCATGGCCTGACAGCAGACTCTTACAGGGTACACAGGAAGAACCACTCCTCCCAGTGTAATCTGCAGACCTGGGCTTTCAATTTGACAAATGAATTATTTTATATTTATTAGAAGTGTCTGTCAGCATGACTGGTACACAGAGCAGGACCAGCTATCAAACTGACAGTGAAGCCCTGTAGATTATACCAGGAGAATGTATCAGATGTGTCTGTATGAACAGGGCCGGATAAAGAGCATCAGGGGCCTGGTGCTGAGGATTTTGGTGGGCCTTTTTATGGAAATGGCGATGGTCACCGGGCCCCTCTTCCTCCTGTCAGGGCTGTGATTTGTAGTCTCCCTACAGCTTGAAGTCAGTGGTGGAGCGCCAGGGCCTGGTTGCAGCTGTGATCCTGGTAGATCTGCCACTGACTCCAAGCTGTGGAGGGACTACAAATCTTAGCAATTAACATTATACAGCAATGCAGAATACCGCCAACTATAGAGAAATCGCAAATCGCAGTAATACATTACACAGAAATTCAGAATATCACCAGCTATAGAGGACTACAAATCGCAAAATCGCAGTAATACATTACACAGAAATTCAGAATATCACCAGCTATAGAGGACTACAAATCCCAGCAATAAATTATACAGCAATGCAGAATATTACCACTAACTATAGAGGACTACCAATCCCAGTAATGCATTACAGAGCAATGCAGACTACCACCAGCTATAGGGGACTAAAAAACCCAGCAATACATGGTATTATTCTGCAGTGCTTCCCAATGTATTGCTGGGATTTGTAGTCCTCTATGGCTGATGTTATTATTCTGCAGTGCTTTACAATCAGCTATAGAGGACTACAAATCCCAGCAATACATTGTAAAGCACTGCAGAATAATACCATCAGCTATAGAGGACTACAAATCCCAGCAATACTTTATACCGCAATGCAAAATAACATGAAGCTATGTTGCTCTGGCTTCGCGGCCTGATGTCTTCAGGTTTTAAAGAGAGTTGTGCGGGGTTTAAGGGCGGCTGTGCAGGCTCTCAGGAGGCTGTTCAGGTTCTCAGGTGGCTAGTGCGGCTCTATGAGGGCCAGTGTGGGCTCTCAGGTGGTCAGTGCTATCCTGGCAGGCTGTCAGTTTATCTGGCTGGGACACAGGAAATGTGGACAATTCTCCCGGAAAACAGGAGAGGGCCGCGGATTACCATCAGGCCGGCTCAGCCGCGATTCGGCTCAGCTTGGCCTGGCCGTGATTCGGCTCAGGCCCGCCGTGACTAGGGTTAGCTCGGCCTGGCCGCTATTCTGGTCAAATCGGCCCGGCCGCAATTACGTTCCACCCGCCCCTATGTTAATCCAGCCTATAAGACCAGCACCTGCAGCCTCTTCCCCCCATAGCCCTGCATTATACATGAGGACAATCCACAAGCTGGAGTGTAGGAGGTACGAGGTGAGAGCCAAGCGTTTGTGGTCCCATGTACCCTAAAACCTAAATCAACAGTTAACCCTTTCAGTGCAGAGGCAGCCCCACTGTTTTGAAAGTTAGCGGGCTTGGCTTGGTGGGGGGCCCAAGAAAATGTTTGCCCAGTGTCCAATCAATATCAAAGACGGCCCTGGTTTTTCTATTGCCCCGGACATCCCTGTAGCTAATAGGGAAGCGCTTTATCTCAAACATCCATGGAGTGAGGGCAGAAAATAATTTAACAAAGAAAGAAGAGAAAGACAATAGTATGACAGAGAAAGCAGGAAAAGAAAAGGTAGGAGGAGACCTCATCATGACAGAGGGTCCTCCCCCAGCCAACCGCATACACAGCACTCCAAGTGAAAGTATTATCCCATGGTCGGTCATGTGGATTTGAGAGACTGATAGTTAGGCGTGGCGGTGAAATGATTCCAACACGCCCAGATGCGGGAGAATTTGTCCAACGCATCCCACCTCGTAAATAGTAATTCTTCCATTTCATATACGTGATCGATCTGTCGGATCCATTCAGACAAGGAAGGTGGTCTGCCCTTCCTACATCTGGGTAAATCGGTAGTAGAATCTGTGGGGTCCTATACCAGAACATCAAAATCTTGTGGTTTGTTTCCTGGTTGCTTATGAAGCTCTTGTGATCATTAAGGCACAGGTCTCTCCAGTCCTTATTTGTCAGGGAAATCTGCAATTCTGTTTCCCACCTGAGGTGCAGTTGCGCTCACACCGCACCTGCGTGTCATGTCCCATGCACATTTTTTCTAGAGGAGTCATGTTTCTTGAGAAATTAGTCCTGCTAGATCGACTGGTCAAAAAATGTTGAATATGCAGATCTATCCACCATGGGTGTTTCCCTCTAAGAGTTAAGTGAGTAAGGTGGCTATTCTCCAGAAACTGTCGGTCCCGAAAAAATAGATTGGCAGGGAGTGATGTTCCATGGGCCAGTACTGCTGAAATTCAGGAGTAGTCTCTGGGGTTGCGCAGTAGTGGCATCCATGGGCTATCTAATGTAGTAAGAACACGCCTTTTCCGCAGGCTAGAAAACTCACTCAATGTCGCCGAGATCAATGGATGTGGAGAACTGGGAACCGGTCTGTGGGTGTCCAAAAGCCACACCACTGAGGAAGGGGGATAGAGAACCACCTCTGTTCGATATCCACCTAAGCTTTCGATGACTGTTGGGTATGCCAATGTAGTATCCTAGCCAGTTGAGAAGCCAGTAGTATATGTATATGTCTGGGATAGCCAAGCCTCCACTAGATTTTGGACGCTGTAGCAAGATCCACGGAAGGCGTGGGTGTTTGTCCTTCCAGAAAAATTTAGAGAGGGTAATAGGAATCGTTTGAAAGAGGTATAAAAGCCTCAGGAGGACATTAATTTTTAATAAGGCCACACGGCCGAACCAGGTAAAAGTAAGAGTGTGCCACTTCTGTAGGTCAGATCTAAGTTTTGATAAAAGCCAATCACTCTCCCTGGACGCATCCCTATGATCTAATATTGTGCACAGCTGCTTTGCCAATTAGGTCTGATGACAGCTTCAGGTGATCCAAATTTTTTATAATATTATCTATTCTAAGCTAGAAGAAACTGCATGTTCTATGTCATCCATTAAAATGTCAGTGCATTTTCCTCAAGACAAAATGAAAGACAAATGTTGTTAAGATAATATTTTTGAAGGACTAGCAGCCTCATCGTGATCATCTCTATCCTGTCTGCTCCCTTCTAGAAGAAGATTGCTCTGAACATTCTTACATTACTACATGTATTGTCTACCTGTAACTTCCTGATTTTCCATTTCCTGGGATGGGTTTCAGTAAAAAGCCTGGTGCACATGAGCAATTTTTGTGAATGTTTACTTCTGTATGAACAGCAGGCATTGTTATGTGGCTTACCATGTATGTAAGATTAAGAATCTCTATGAGGTCCTCATTCAGAAAAGGCTTGTCTCTGAGGGAACCTAGAATATCTGCTATTTGAACCATAATTAAGAAAGGAAACAAGAGAGTTGAATCTTCTAGAATGATGATAGCAAGAGTGATAACATTACAAACAAAGGAGGTAAAGTAAGTTAGACACAACAAGAAGACTTTCATTGTGGAAATATGGTGGCTGCCATTACTGACCTCTTAGTTGCCTTGCTATAATGCTGACTCACTGACTTTTGAGAAACTGACCCAGTACACCTTTGCATATCAAGCCAGAATAATGTCATAATTCCTTATCTGCATAGTGGTTGCTGAATTCCTTACTATTCCCAATCGTTACATTAGTTTTAGCATGACAACCAGGCATCTAGCATTTGTAAAATGAGACCTTAGCAGCTGTGGCTTCAGCTACTGAGCTCTGTAAACTGACATCTTGCAGTAAAACATATATAGAGATGCAGAGCTAAACATGTCAAAAGCAGTTCAGAGAGTCACCTGCTGGCTGGACA